CCAGAACTACTGAGCAAGAAAATGATTTGGCAACATGAAAAATGTGTATACTCTTCAATCTATCTTTGCTCTTCTAGAAAAGCATGTTAAAGAATTAAGGATGTTCACAAATATTGCCACTTCCCTCAGTAATCCACACAGCTGTCTCACTTCTTTTGGAACTCAAATGGCTTCTTTACATGGCCACCCTATGTAAAGTCGCAAGGCCTAATATACTATTTATCCCCCTTCCCTACTATATTTCCCCCCATGCCACCTATCATATTGTGTATTTTCTTTTACTTCATTTGTCAATTATAGTTAACATAAATTATTTTATCTCATTTTTATTTTTCTTCTCTCCCTGAAATATAAGTTCTATACGGCAAGTGATTTTGTCTGTTTTGATCACTGTAATGGCCAGGGACAATCTTAGATTTTGTTGGGCCTGACACACAATTCTGGAGTCTTCCTTTAAAAAAAGTGTTTTAAAATAAATTTAAAATTTTCAAATTTAAAAAATCTGAGGAATAAGATATCACAAAATCTAGAAAAATGACAATGCAGGTAAATTAAAACCTTCTCACAATCTGAATTATTTTGATATTGGCTGGATTCCTGAAAATATTGTCCCACAAAGCCTAGAATAATGGATATACTTCTTTTGACCTTCAGACAGAGTTCCTTCTTTCATTCATTATGTTTTGCAGATTTATTGATATATAAACCAACATACCATAAAATTCACATTTAAAGCATACAATAGTTTTTATACAGTCCCAGAGTTCCACAGACATCACCACAATCAATTTAGAACAATTTCATCACTCAAGTTTGTACCACACTTATCAGGTGATTAGGTATTTCGATTGTTTCTACTTTTCTTTTTGTTGTTTGAATTTTTTTTGTGGGTTTTTTGAGATGAAGTTCACATACTACACAATTCACCCTTTTAAGTGTACAGTCCAATCAATGCCTTTTTATAAATTTAAAGAGCTGTGCAACCATCACCACTAATTCCAGAAACCCTGTACCCATTAGCGGTCATTCCTTACTTCCTTTTCCCTCAACCCCTAGAACCCACATACATACACTCGTTCTATGGATTTGTTTATGCTAGACATTTCAGATAAATGATATTATACAATATATGGGGTTTTTTTTTCACTTAATACAATATTTTCAAAGTTCATCCTATTGTAACATGTATTAGTACTTCATCTCTTTCATTCATCAGTTGATGGACTTTGAATTGTTTCTACTTTTTGGCCATTATGAATAATGCTGCTATGAACATTCATTTACAAGTTTTTGTGTGATATATGTTTTCATTTTTCTTGGGTATATGCCTAGGAATGAAATTTGTGGGTCAATGTGGTAACTCAGTGTTCAGCATTTTTGAAGAACTACCATTTTACATCCCCGCCAGCAATTTATGAGGGTCCAAATGATCCCATATCCTTGGCAACATTTGTTATTGTCTGTCTTTTCTATTCTAGTCACCCCCAAGAGCATAAGGAATGTTATCAATTTAATAAAACATTTCAGCTACTCTCTAGAATAGTCTTCATTGAGAAGACACCTCAGAGGTAAAGATTTCTTGAGACAGTAAGAAAAATGTGTGGGTTCACAAGTGAAGGAAAAGAAACAACTACGATAAGTAGGACCAGCTGAAAACTCAACCTGAGGAAGGTATATGACAGGGTTACCCCGTTACAAGAAATTATGATCTTCTATATACTGCTGGAATGCTTTTTCCACTTTGCTTTGGAACACTACCATTTTCTGAGAAAGTCATCGGGTTCCGAGTCATGTCCTTGGAAAAATGCAGCTGCAGCACCATGTGGTAATTGCACGATGTAGGTACTAGTGAGTTTCAGATGTGGGGAAGATGAGCCCAAGTCATTCATTCTTTCTGGGAAGAAGTTTGATCAGATTGCTTTCTTCTTCTCACCACATGATATCAGCTCTACTAAGAAAACTGATTTGTAGGAGTAGAAAGGTGGGTGATTTTGGAATATGAGGAACCTCAGGAGGTGGGGCAGGCAAGGAGAGCCCCTGAGTCAGGAGAGGAAGCCAGCAAATCTCACAGGAGTGTACCTGGACCCCAAGACCATTAGGGGATGGAAATGGCTGCAAAAACTGAAGTAAGAAAGACCATGTTCTTTGGGAAAGAGGTGGAAATTTACTCTCCCTCCTCCACTGTTCACCCTACCCTATTTCCAAGACCCAAATCTCAGGCAGGCACCTTGACTACTATAGGTCGGCAACATTCGGGTTTACTGCTCCTCAAAGGCTTGGCCTGGGAACTTGATCACCAATGCATAATATTGTTTCTGTGAGAAAAGTGTTTCAAAGTCTACCTGTAAGCCAGTTGTTTGGAAAGTGATAGAAAATTCTTTCATAGGATTACTTACTTGTAGGCAATTCTTTATGTGTAATCTCAGTTTCAGAATGTAGTCAATGTGCTTTGAATCTCCAAAATATAGTTTACGGTGTATAGAAAAATAATTAAACTTTTATAAGAAAAAAAAATGCCCAACATTTGTCACCAAGATGAAACTTTTATATTGTACATTCATATATATAGCAATACTCCCTACTGACATGTATCATTTAAATGAAATGTAGTCACTTCCAAACAATTGTCTGTTTTCAGATACATAGCAAATCCAATAATCTACTATTTCAACAAACCATTCCATTATTAGGGAATAGACACCAATATTCTATATGCAAGTACTTTATATCAATCATTTTGGAAATACAATCAAGAGACAATGTTTTAAGACTACACATTAAGGCTACTTTGGTTATTTGAAATGTATATAAGCAACAAAGATATTTTTGCAAAAGATAATATAAATTAAACACTATTTCCATCTTAAGAAAAGAAAAACTATTACAAGCCATCTAGACTTTCAACATAGAATCTTAAAACTTATTGCTAGTGTTCCATTGCAGGACAGAATATTGCTCGAAACTGCCCATTTCAGAAACTGCCCATATCTTTTAGTAAGGCTATATCAGAATAAAGACTTCTAAAATTAAACTTTTCTTTTATGTTAAAAGTGAAATTTATTATAATACAATAATTGCAAATGTTATTTAAAATTCTGGTTAAAATTATAAAGTGTCTATAATTTTTCTAATATAAATATCGGAAAAAACAACTTTAATAATTCTATATGTACACAGAACATTGAAAACAAAAAATCATGCACAAGGTCAAAATATTACTTTGCATATTGTCCTTTTAAGGATCACTTTTATCTTCTTCTGGTCCCAGCATCATTCCAGGGGGTGTGCTAATTATTAAGATTACAAACTTCAAGGGTTCTGTGTTTTGAATGTATGTCAGTTCACACATTAACAATGCTATAAAATCACTGCTTATACTCTGATTAAGTGGTTCTATTTCCCATATCTCGCTTTCTTAATAGGTCTTGGACATAAAGTTAAGCTAGAAAAACTGTGATTACAGGATCTAGCATGACACGTACTCCTAATGATTCATTTAAAAGTGGCATAAAGTTCTATAGGTATGTGTATGTGTATAAAGTCCTACAGGAAAGACAGTAAGTACATCAACATGTAAGTGAAATGAAGCAGCTCCCCCTCTGCTTGCTTACTTGGTTCCATGTCTCTATAGAAAGGAGACACCAGAGTCAGGAAGAAGGGCAAATCAGAACTGCTGGGACTGTGTGTACTGGTGGAGCGGGGAAAGGTGGGGCAGCATAGGGAAGGAGCAAATGGAAGTAACAGATTATAAAGGAAAATTAAACAAAATTACCTATTCTTCCCCATCCTGCTATAGCAGGGACTGTTTCCAGCCTGGCCTTCCTCTCCTGCATCCCAGTGGGGCTCTGGGGTTATTCTGTTCACCCAGCACTGTGAAAACGGTCATTGCCCTTCAGACAGTGTGGAGGCATAGCTGCTCTCTACTGAGACAACCTATACATTACAGGTTTGGACATTTCACAAATAACAAAGAGAGTCTGAACTAGGCCTCGACATGAGGGCAGGTGAAACGAGTTTTACAAATGAGCAACTAACACTCAGAGAGGTTAAATGGTTCAGCCAAGGGGAGGAAAAGGAACCTATATGTAATGCTTATTCTTTTATGACAGAGCTTCTCATGTGATTCACTTGGGATCTCATCAAAGTGGGTCTGAGGTGGGGTCTCAGATTCTGCATTTATAAGCTCTTAGGAGATGATGATGTTCTTGGTCTATGAGACCACACTTTGAGAAGCAAGGGTCTACCGCACAAAGAGGGAGTCACCTCTGTGTCTCTTGGACACAAGTGTATCTTGTGAGTCCTGAGCATAACTAAGACCTGCTCCTACCCAGGCATATCCCCAGGCAAAAGGTGTAGATGCACTGCATACATGAACAGCCATAGTTTCAGAGAGCACCATGACTATATGAACAGCCAAAAAAACATAATTCAACTTGAGTAAATGGAGTGTTCTATTTGTTAGGAATAAAATTAATCTCTTTCTCATATAGTCCTCCTTTAAGTGAACATGATATAAAGGTATAAAAAAAACCCAGCATATTGAACTTCATAGTAAAAGGCCACATGTGCACACACATACATATAGTATGAATTTTAAGAAATTAAATGCATTTCATCAGAAAATGCTACCACTGTTCCCAGCTAAAATCATCTCCTCTTCCAAATACAAGGAAAAAACCTTGAATTGTAAGGAAAATGACTGCATTGCCTGCCAGCACAAGGCCACAGGCTCCCCATTTGATCTGAAACACAAGCAAAAAGGATTAAATCCTTACTTTCTTCATATTGTACTCTTTGCAAATCTGATATTTTCTGCATTAGAAATATCCAATGAAAATTACATAAAACTGCTAAAAGGCTTAATGTAACAGGTGGGAGATAGTGAACTAACTATTCAGTAATTAGTCTAATTACTTCGTGATGCTTGTTAATTAAGTCTAGAATCATCCTTAACATTTTTCGCATTAGACATATCTTTCTTCTGTTTTCAGTAGACGATGATTGCCTTAAGTAAAATACAAACGGCAGATTATAAAGGGTCCAGTTATGACACTGGGTACTGAAAATTTTGTACACATTGCCTTCTTTCATGAAAATAGTAATTGGAGAGGTATGGATTGGTTTCTTCTCTAGACAAAAAAAAAAGACTTTAAAAAATAATCTGCATGCAAATGAAAACTGCTTTCCAGCGTGGCAGACGATTCTTTCTACAGAGGCACAATTGGGGATGAGGGTACCCTCTAGTGGGCATTTTTTGTTTTAATTTAACCAATAGAAAAATATCAAAAAAAGTTGTCATAAAATGTGATGCAGTATTAAAAGGTAAAAATAGAAATCTTTAGAGCAGAACTTTAGAGGTACTTAGTCTGAAGCATAAGAAGAATAAGGTCATGACAATCTTGCATTTGAAAACCATCAATGCTTTTTCGTTATCTAGACTGAGTTCATCCTGGCCCGGCATTCAGGATCCTTCTCAATAGGCTTCATGAACCTTTCTAACCTCAATCGCACCCACTTCTTTTTTGCTCCATCATATGGGACTGCTGCTCTTTATTCCACACATTGCACTTCCACACTTGGGTTCCATTCCATTTAATAGCCTTCTCTACTTTAATCAAAACCCTATTTATCAAAAGTGACATCAAATGCCAGTTGGAATTTCTCTTGGTGTTTCAAAGGCAGTCTGATCATGTTTTAATTATCACACATAGTACCTTTATTGTATACTTACCCATTGGGCTAGTTTCTGTGCTCTTGGAGAACAGAGACAGCATCTTTATCTTATTTCTGGCATCTTACAAATAACAGATGTTCTAAAGATACTTACTGAATGAGTATGTAAGATTTGTGCATATCTGATATTCAATGCCCTAAGTAAATGTTTCATTAAATTAAAACAGTATGTAATTGGGAGGAACAAAAAAATAGTATGAAAGACAGTGAACATCAAAGAATGGAATAAATTATACCCACAATGTGTTTGAAGACAAAAAGAAATTTTTACATTGGATAGAAGATGTCATCTTATTCACTGTATCTTTTTGTAGCTATATAGTTGCCTCGCAGCATATGCCTATTGCGAGATATGTATTTGGTCTTCCTGCCCTTTCTGGCACAGAACTCCTAAAACACTTGGAATTTCCTAAGTGATAAAAATGATAAAAGTGACTCTTGTTAAGTTAATGAGCTGACTTTTGGAAAGCACCTAAGAATGGGGGCCGATTGCCAGAGAAGTCAACCATGTGATTAAAGGGTTAGAACTTTCAGTTGCAACTCCCTGATATTTGGGGAAAGGAGAGGGGTTGAAGATTGAATTAATCACCAGTGGACAATGATTTGATCGATCATGCCTACCTAATGGAGCCTCCCTAAAAACCCAAAAAGACGGGATTTGGAGAGCTTCTGGGTTGGCAATTTGGTGATCTGGAGAGAGAGGTGCACTTGGAGAGGATTTGGAAGCTCCACACCCTTACCCTATACCTTGCCTTATATGTATCTCTTCCATCTGGCTGTTCCTGAGTTATATTCTTTTATAATAAACTGGTAATCTAGTGAGTAAACCAGTTTCCTGAGTTCTATGAACAAATCAACCAGACCCAGGAAGGGGTCCTGGGAAGTTCTGATCCATAGCTAGTCAGTTAGATGCACAGGCAACAACCGGGACTTTTGATTGGCATTTGAAATGGAGGGCAGTCCTGTGGGAATGAACCTTTAACTTGAGGGATCTGATGCTATCCCTGGGTAGATAATGTCAGAATTGAACTGAATAGTAGGACAACCAGCTGGTGTTGGAGATTGCTCATTGGTGGTGTGGGGGAAAACGCCCCCACACACATTGGAATTGGCTGATAAGGCCCTATTTAGATATTCATTTTGGAACTAGCAAAGTATTGCTATCGTAGTTTCTTTGGATCATCCTATGATAAGAGGCAAGAATTTAAGAATAATTGAAAAAAAATAGCTTAAAGAAGAAAAAACAAGAAATCATTTGGTCTGGCTAAAAGTTGTAGGAGAAACAAAGAAAGCGTTTTGAAAACATGGCCAAGATATTGATAGGTAGATCTAAAATGCGGATTAAAGAAACTAGAAATACCTCTACTTTGAGTATTAAGTCTAAGCAATTTAAATGAAATTGTAGTTCCAGACACAGGCCTTTTAAGTAAACTCAGTGACAACTGGGCCAAACAATAGAGAACAAAACTTACCACAGCCACACGAGCAAGAATAACAGGAAATCCAAAGGCAGAAACAACAATTCCAGTAGTGAAAAAATATGCCAGTTCCCGACAGGCACTGCTTGTTGCATCAGAGTCATATGTTGCTCTTTTGGCAATGAAATGGGGAATGGGAGAGATGGCATGAAATATCAGGACGAACAAGGGCCAGTAAACACTGTCGGTTGATCCCAGAAGAAATGCAGAAAGAAAAGTTACAGTTAAGACATTCTATTATTTCACAGTTAATATTATTTTTAAAATCTAGGTTAAAAAATTATTCATTCAATTGTCAACATTAGCATATGAAATGATTTCTACCAGGAACAGGTAAGAAGTAATGATAATTAAAAATTACCAGTCCATTAATATGTAGATAGCTGATATTGTGTTAAGATACAACTTCACAATATATAATCTAGAATCTTTATTTTCTGTTATTACTAAACTATAAT